TTACTACTGCCATTGTAACATGAAATAAATTGATAACATAAACAAACAACTATGGCTGTAATTCAATAGAATTTTGTTTATGAACACTGACATTTGAATCTCATAATTTTCACCTATCATGAAACCTTTTTATTTTTTTTTGCAAAGATTCTTAGCTCATGGGTTGTACAAATACAGGGGCAGAATAGATTCCACCTCGGGCCACAGTTTTATTGGCTCCCTCACTGGATGAGTCCATTTCACTGTGTTTTTTCATAGCCATAAAGTATTGCTGTTGGGGTTCCAGTTCATACATGAATAGGTTTGTTTTTTTTTTTTTAAAAACTACTTATATACGTCTCTGTGCTCAGTGGATGGCTGTAGACAATTTTTCAGTAAAACACTTCTCTCAGTCTTGTTAGGGTGCCTTCAAAATACAAGGTCCAATCAAAACAGTGGTTTCTAAGTGGATCTGCAGGGCCAGTTAGATTCAAGGCAGACAGGTCAGTTTAGAAGGTTATGACAACTGTTTGGGGTTTTGGGGGTAGGGATGGGGATGAATTCCAAAGAGGTAATCTTGATTTTATTTTATTTTACTTCTTATTATAATTTGAGTTAAGAGCAAATATTTGGTTTCTGTTCAGCAATTCATACACATTTTGTTTCATGACAGTGTTTTGTATTATTCCGTTTTTATCTTTTTTTGTTGGCTCATTACCTATAATCCTTGAGTTATTTTATTGATTGCTTTTTTCAGGGCCAGGGTTATTTGTATACATCTTTAATTTATCATAACTCTAATCTCAAGTGATATTTTATTTGGGTTTTGTATGAAAACCTGACAACAGTATGCTTCTGTTTTTATTAACTTGGCCTTTGTGCTACTATTGTTATATATTTTGCTTCTACATATATAGCTCACAACGTAGTATTCTTTTTACTCCAAGCAGTCAGTGATCTTAAGTTTTTCAAAATAACTTTTTGAATTTTAACTAACACTTACTAAACTGCATATATTTAATTTAAAGTGTGTACAATTTGATAACGTTTTGACAAACCATCACCACAATCAGTATTTAAGCTGAGGTTTTCTAGAATTTTACATA